AAATCTCGCTAAGCTTTAAAATTAACTCGATATAGCTTAAATCTTTATTTACGAAGATTTATTATCTATTAATACTTAAAATAGCGAATAATATTCTATCGAGAAGTTAAATAATTAACGAATTTTAAAGATATTAGAATAATCTAAAAAAGTTATAATAATATAGGCCTATCTCTTATACGCAGATATAGTATTATATTATTAAGATTATATTAGTTATCTTAATAGCTAAAAACTTTATTTATCTTTTTTAAAATTAATTTAATTAAAATTCGAGATCGAGACCGAGACCGATTATAAGGTTATTTACTTATTATTAAGGTGTTTTACCTCTAAAGCGAGTACTTACGCCGAGGCTTCTTTACGACGATAGAGGTTTCTTTCCTCTTTCGCTTTCGAGACTAAAGTTTTTATTCTTTCGATTAATATATCTCTATTAATAATAATTAAGAACTACGTAATTAACGCCGAAGCTAAGGTTATTTCTTTTTAAATTATACTTCTTTTAGCGATAATTAAGATAACTAATTTTTAGCCTCTATTACGAATATTTCGTAATTAGATAAATACGAAGTCTAAATACTTATTATCTAATTCTTTAATATTTACGATATATAAATAAAGGCGTATTATTTCTTTATTTAACGTATTTTATATAAAAAAGTTAATAATATTTTAAAAATCTTAGCGATAATATAATTTAATTAATTATATAGCGATTTCGATAATCTCGGCTAGATGCGATATATCTTAACTCGCTTTATATTATCTTAAATAGAAAGTAAGAGCGTTCGAGCGATAATTCTTAACTCTTAAATTATAGATAAATTATAGCTATTTAGATCTAGAATAACTATTTTAAAATAGAAATTTTCTATATTAAAAAGATTAATAAAGTCTTCTATAGTTATAATTACCTTTATTATAATAGATATAAATATCTAAAAATAATCGCAGCTATAGCGATAGGTTATACTATTATTAAAATAATTATTAGATATAATTTAGATTTATAATCTATTAAAATATAAAGATAGAATACTTAGTTATATTAACTATAGAGTTCTATAAAAGAAAAGAGCGACTTAACATAAGCGCGCTAAGGCGTATCACGTGACGCAGTCACGTAATCGTTAAGACGCCAAGCGTCACGTAATTCGGATTTCAATAGCGTCTAAGAATTAAAGTCTAGAAGAGAAGATAATTATTAGATTTAATACGTTATAAACCTTAACGCTACTTACGTTAAGACGTCGATATTATATATATTATGTTAAAGTCTCTTTTAGAATCTAATTTTAATAATATATTCTATATATTTAAGGGCTTAGCGGATATAGATTTACTTCGTATATCTCGAAGTTTTAATATTTCTTAGAGATTAATTCTACTATTAAATATATTATTAAATCTTATAACGATACTACGTCTTTTATAGTCTATATTCGCTAGCTAATTATTAGTAAACTACGCTCTTATAGAAATTAAGAAAGAAATTAAAGAAGTTATAATAGATTATAGAAGATTTTACTATCTTAAAGACTATAAAAGAGTAGTTTCGAAAGCTAAATAACTTATAATATACTAATTATAAGGATTTTAAGTTTATAAAAACTACTATTAAGTTAATTATAATACGAATATTTACGATAGTATTCGCGACTAATATATATCTTATATTTATTATTAAGTTTAATTTAAGTATAACTACTACGTCTCTAAATATTATAATTTAAGAAAACTAATATATTATAATTATAATAAGAAAGATTATTATCGAAAGGATTATATAATAACTATCTAAATCGAGATTAATAAAAAGGCCTTTAAGAAAGTATAACTTTACGCGATGAAAATAGATGAAGAATTCGAAATTAATAACGTCGATATTATGGATAGCGACGATTCTTCTTTAAATTCGAGAAATAAATAGTCTCTTTTAAAGTTACGGTAAGAGATACTTATAAAGTATATCTAATAGATACTCTTAATAACGCTCTAATACGTCGTCCTTTTTATATATAAGTTATACTATCTTTATAAGAAAGAAAGTATTTATTTTAAAACTCTCTTATAGATAGTAAATATATCGATATTTATATAGTTATAAATAAGTTCTTAATTCTAGCGATATATAAGGCCTTATATCTAAAATTACTTCTATTATTATAATCTAAATTACTAAGAGATTATAACGACTAGATCGTAAAACGATTAATTATATATTACTTACTTTTAATAATAATAGTAGAAGACTATTAAGAAGAAACATGTCTAATACTAATTATACTATTGAAATATAATATAATAATTAAAAAATCTTAAATAAATAAACACGGGGTAGTTCTTAATATGTTATGAAATAAGATACTCTTTTTACTCGATCGATGTAACTATAATAATAATTAGATATTAATAATAAACGAACTCTCCTTTCTATTAACTCCGAAGCTTCGATTACTTATATTATCTATTCTCTTATCTATTATACTAAAATAATAAAGCTCTCCTCTATCTATCTACGATAATGAGATCGATTTAAATATCTTCTTATTAAATAAGAATAAGAATAGTAAGAAGTCTAAGTTTATTAATATTATTAAGATTAATATAGCGATTTACTATTAACTAGCTCGTAAAAATAATAATAAACTATTTATATTAATAATAAATAAGATCTATAATAGATCGTCTATATTATATACGCCTCTTACTACACGAATAGCTCGCGAACCTTATATATCGATTAATAAACTCTATTCTTATAATTTAGAAAAGAAATATAAAAGATATTATAATTCTAATTATCTTATTTAGATTAATAATATTAATAAGATTAATCTTAAAGAAATAAAATGTAAGTTATCTTCGAAGTATTACGACTATCTAGATATTTTCGATAGAACTAAAACGAATATACTTCTTCTATATTATTCTTATAACTATAAACTCGAATTTAACAATAGCTTTAATAAAACGAAACTTTCGAAAAGTAGAATCTATTTAATATTAGAATATAAATTAAAATAGATAAAGAAGTATCTAGATAAATATCTGAAGAAGGGATTTATAATATTAAGTTATATATTATTCGCCTTACTCGTTCTATTCGCGGAAAAGTCGAATAAAGAATTACGTTTTTACGTGGACTATCGAAAGCTAAACGCTATTACTAAAAGAAATCGATACTTAATTCTACTAATAGATAAGATTTTAATAAGAATTTAGAAATATAAATATCTTACTTAATTAGATATTATAGCCGCGTTTAATAAACTATATATATATCTCGATAGCGAGAATTTTACTACTTTTATTATCTTTCTTAGAGTATATAAATATCGAGTTCTCCCCTTCGATCTAACTAACGGCTCGGCTATATATTAATAATATATAAATAATATTCTATTCGAATATCTAAATGATTTCTACTAGGTCTACCTCGATAATATACTTATTTATAATAAGATAAAAAAGAAATACGTTTAATACGTTAGATAAATTCTTTAGAAATTAAGGGACGTCGGCCTTTAGGTAGATATTCTTAAATGCGAATTCCACGTTTAGGAAACTAAATTTCTAGATTTATTAATGTCTATAGACGGGTTATAAATAAATCTTATTAAAATTTAAATTATTATTAAGTAAACTATATCTATTAACCTTAAAGAGATATAAACCTTTATCGAATTTTATAATTTTTATCGGCGATTTATTAGAGACTTTTTTAAAATAGTTAAACTTATAATAAAACTTATAATAAAGAAGATTATATTTAATTAATCTCTAGTATATTAAGAGATCTTTTACTTTCTAAAAGTCGTTATTACTAAAGCTCTAATTCTATATTATTTCGATAAAATAAAGAAGATCGTTCTAGAGACTAACTCTTTCGACTACGTTAATAAAGATATTCTTTCTTAATATAACGATAAGAAAGTACTTTACTTGATAGCCTTCTATAATAAAAATCTAATCTTAATCGAGTATAATTATTAGATCTACGATAAGAAACTATTAGTAATTATTCGTTATCTAGAATATTAGCGCCCTAAGCTAGAATATATAAATATCTTTATTAGAATCTTTATCGATTATAAAGAACTAATATATTTTACTAAGAGAAGAAATCTTAGCTAACGCTAGACTCGATATTTAAATATATTATTAGAATTTAATATAAAGATTATTTATTAATCTAAATCTTAGAACGTTAAAATTAATATACTTATATAAATAACTAGATATAAATTAATTAATCTTAAAAATAAATAATTACGTTAATAGTATTAAATAATTCTTATTTCTAATCGATTAAAATTAGATAACGAGTATATTAACGTATATATAATTAATAACTCTATCTATTATAAAGTAGTAAGAACTAATAAGAAAGATATATTAGTATATATAATAGAATAAGATAGAGCTAAGCTTGAAAACCTTAAATTTATATATGTAGCCAATTATTAATTTAGAGTTACTACGCTCTTTAGTTAGACCGGCTAAGTTAGCCCGCTAGCCCTCCCGAGCTCTCTTATTAAAAATTTATATATAGAAGTTTTACACTTTGAAGTACTCAGCTTGCGATATATATAGTTACTTTATAATTCCTCAAATTATAGAGCTCGCTTTACGCTTTCTAACGCTATAAAAATTATAAAGTTTAGCTTACTATTAATAGAGCGAAGTAGCATTTAAATATAATTACACGAAACGCGTCCGGGATCGAATAATCCTTCCACCTGTTTATATAATTATTATTCTTTCACCATTCTACCAATTTACCAATATAAACATATTTATCCTCGATACCCCTCGCGGAAACGTTACTAAACGCTTCAGGCACATATACCCCTTTTGCCCGCCTCTTAGAGCCCCTACTAACGCCCCCAGACCACCCCTCAGCGAATCCGCTACTGCTGACAATCGAGGCCGCAACGGGGCCCAACAGCTACCTGCTAGAGAGGAGGAGCAAGAGAAGAAACTACAACAGGCAAATGCGGAGAACACTGCGGAGAAACCAAGCGGCAACAAGGCCACCATCGTCAAGAACACGGCTCAGCTCTCCAAGATCCCACGTTATATCAGTCATCCCACTCAGTCAACCACTCAGCTAGCCACTCAGTCTGATACTCTACAAGAGAAGGTGCAAGAGAAGTCACTACAGCAGGCGAATACGGAGAACACTGCGGAGAAACCAAGCGGTAACAAGGCCACCATCGTCAAGAACACGGCTCAGCTCTCCAAGATCCCACGTCATATCAGTCATCCACTCAGTCAGTCACTCAGCTAGCCACTCAGTCTGATACTCTACAAGAGGAGGAGCAAGAGAAGGAACTACAACAGGCAAATGCGGAGAACACTGCGGAGAAACCAAGCGGCAACAAGGCCACCATCGTCAAGAACACGGCTCAGCTCTCCAAGATCCCACGTCATATCAGTCATCCACTCAGTCAGCCACTCAGCTAGCCACTCAGTCTGATACTCTACAAGAGGAGGAGCAAGAGAAGGAACTACAACAGGCAAATGCGGAGAACACTGCGGAGAACACTATAGAGAACACTGCGGAGAAACCAAGCGGCAATAAGGCTACCATCGTCAAGAACACGGCTCAGCTCTCCAAGATCTCACGTCATATGCTCTCCACGGTTCCACATCAAATCATCACTCAGCAAGCGGAGAACACCACTGCAACTTGGCCTGTCATCCCCACTGTATTGATATGGTATATTACTACAATAACGTCATAAGAGAAAGATCTACTGCGACGATCATAGCCAATTGGGCCTCTGCAGGAGGAATATCGGACGATACATATTTGGACGAATTGAAACCGTCCGATGTCTTGCTCTGACAGCTATTTCATTATTCGAAAAATTTCATTGCGGCAGAAGATAATGTGGGATTCACACCACTAATTGGCATGTTATCTCCATTTCTTTCCGGTATTTCGATACTCTTTCTCTGTTTTTTGTGGGCAATTATTACGAATCAATTCTCCACACTCGATATACCTTCCTAATTAGGCCTTAGCGCGCCTCTCTTCGCATATATATATTTATATATAGGTTAAAAACGTATAGTAAGCGATTAGAGTTCGATTTAACTTAGGGCTAGGGCTAAAATTCGATTTGACTTAGAAAAATTCAACTCTATGAATTTAATTCATGGGCCTTTACTTGTATTATATAAAAATTTATAACGCTATCGTTAAAGATAAAGATAAGTTTCGAGAAATTACTCTTAGTAAATACTCTATATAAGACGAGATACTTTATTATAAAGATTATTTATAAATATTTAATAATATATATATCGATATTATTTAAGAGATCTACGATTAATTATTCTATAATTATTTCGAGATAATATATATTTATAAACTATTTAAAAGAAAATATTATTAGCGAGATATAAGAATTATTATAACTATCTACGTTAAGAATTACTATATCTATTAAAGAATTAAAACGTCTTATAATTAAAAGTATAATTTATTATAATCTTTATTAATTTTATAAAAACGATAATAAGATATATTAATTAACTTCGTTATAGGCTTACTTATATTTAATAATTATAACGCTATTTAAATAGCGATTAATTAACTTATTAAGAAACGTTACTATATAGTTTATTTCGATATTAATAAAAATATTATCGCTAAAAAGATAGTTAACTTACTATTTAAGAAAGTATTCTATTTATACGATCTATTAATCTTAATAATATTAGATTAAAGCCCTTAATTTATAGCTATTATATAGAATTTTTTTTATAAAAAACTAGATATTATAGCTAAGCTATTAATAGTCTTTTATTTTAAAATCGATAGATAGATTAAACGAGCGAATTAGAATATAGAACGTTATCTTCGAATATATTATAACTATATATAGAATGACTAGATAAGATAATTATTTATTATCGAGTTTATCGATAATAATATTATTTTATTAATTATTAATATCTTACCTTTCCTCGCGAATAAGGGGTTTTATTCTCGAATGACTTTTAGCTCGAATACTATCGACTATAAGATTATATATAAGCGTCTTAATACTACTTAAGCGGAGGATATCACGAATTATATAAAATAAGTTTTTAAGTATATTTAAAGTAACGTCGATCGCGTTTAGAAGGCTATAATTATATAAGTTAATAAGTATCGATAAAAGATTACTTTTTAAATAGGCGATAAGGTCTTTTTAAGTAGTAAGAATATTATCTTCGATTACTCTTTTCGTAAATTAAACTATAAGAGACTTAATTTATTTAAGATTATAGGCCTTATAAGAATTTTATATTATCTAAAACTTTCATTAAGTATAAAAATCTACGATATCTTCTACTTTAATCTCTTAAATCTCGTAATAAATAATCTCTTATTAAGATAGATAAACTCTTTATTAAAGTATATTACTAATTTACTATTAACGATCGAATCGAATAAATTATTAAAGAAATATTTAATTTTAAATTAATCTATAGTCGTCTTAAGTATAAAGTTAAATAGAAAGATCTTAATAATAACCTCGTTTAATATAATACGAATAGCGATAAATTCGAAAATTATTAGAATTTAATAGACGACTTCTATAAGCGATATTTTAAAGAGCCTTATTGGAAAGCTTGCTTTCTCCTAGCTCAAGAATAAAATCACTTCTGTGCCAAGCCTCGCTGTAAGACTATTCTGAGAAACTCTTATCTTATTAGGAAGTAACTAAGGATTTAGTAGATCTTAACTAAGAACATCAATTTCTTCTCTGATTTTCTCCCTGCCGACTTTCTGACTTTTATCCTCGACCCTCGCTCTCTTACTAAGAACATCAATTTCTTCTCTAATCTTCTTTAATCCTCTCTTAAATATTATTTCGTATTTCTAAGATATCTTAATTAATTCTTAACTTTAGCCTCGTATCCTCTATAGCTCGACGTACTATAAATCGATATTAAAAGAATTATCAAAAACAAAATACCGAGCGCGCTCTCTTACAGTTACACTCTTAAAATCAGCTACGATCTTAGAGAAAAGCTTAAAGTCGATGGCAACGTCGATTACCTTCATGCGATATCGCATTATAATCTTAACCTCAGCCTACGATATCTTAAAATCTTCCCTAAACTACTCTCGAAGGCATTAATTCTCTATATATTATCGAGATATAAATAAATATCTTTAAGTCTAATACTTCAGACCTCGATATCAAACGCCCTATATTCGATATTTACAATATATATTTACAGAAAAATCTTCTAGTAGATTTCTTTATAGAATCTTAATTATCTTATATTTAACTTATAAATCTTCACTTTCTCAGTCTACTTAGTAATAGTATATTAATTTTTTCTACTAAATTTCTTTATAAACTTAATAATAGTAATATCTAACTTATGAATTTACTATATAGTAAGTACTACTATAATAATAATAGTAATATGAGTTACTACATAGAAGCATTATATAATTACTTACTACGTACTATACGTCCTCGAGCGTACTAGTAATCTCTACTATACTAGAAGATTTCAGTTAGATTCTTTAATTCTTAATCCGCTTTCGCTATATTCCTTTCTACGTAAGAATTTTAATTCTTTAATATAAGAACCTCGCTTCTTTCGAATTATTCTATTTTATAAGAATTCTAATTCTTTAATATAAGAATCTCGCTTCTTCTCTTACTACGTTATAAGAATCTCAAGAGATTCTTAAATTCTTTAGCACTATAAGAATCTCGAATCTCGATTCTTTAGAATAAAAAATTAGAATAAAAAGCTATTATTAAGCTAGCTTCGTTATTAATAAAAGATCTTATTAGTATTAACTATTAAATTTATAAGTTTCTTATAGTAATAGATTAAGCTTATTATTATAAGATTTTCGAGTTTATTAAATACTCTATCGACTATATTATTTAGAATTATAATTATTAGTTAAAATAGATATTAAAATCATCGAGATACTTAAGAATATTATTAATTAAATTCTCTACTTTCTTATATAGCTAATTTATAAATTAATCTATCTTTTTAAAAAGTAGTTAGAGCTTTTAATAATTAAATATATAACTTTCGAAGTAAATTTAAACTTATTTAATACTTTAGAAATCGTAATTTACTCTTTATAGATTTTATATCTTATATCTTATTAATAAATACTTCTTTAGATTTATCTAATATAAGCTTAAATTCTATTAAAGATATTAATTAAACTATTAAAATAATCTTAATAGAGAAGATAATTTATAAAGATTTAATCGATTTAATTATAATAGAAGATTAATTATAATAAAATACTAGTTTCTTATAACTATAATAAATAGCGTTATAAGAATTACTACGTAGTATTTCTAGTTAATTAAATTTATAAGAATCGTCTAATAAGTTAAAATCTCTCGAAGCTATTATAATAGAGAACGTTTTTAATTATATATATTAAAATTCTAATAATCTTAATTTCTTCGATTCTAGCTATGATAATAAAGTAAGTCTATTAATATTAAATTACTAATCGAGTATATTAATAAGAAAACGTATTTTTAAGATATATATCTATTTGTAAAACGAGCTAAGAATCTCGTTATTATTAAGAGTATTAATCTAGTTTAAAAAAACTTATAAATAAATTTATATAAAATAATATTAAAATAGTAGATAATAGAAATTTCTACTATCGAGAAATATATTATTAAGTTTAATAATAGTATTAAGAAATAAGCTATTTTATTAATTATTAGATTTAAGAAATCTACTATAATAGCGATTAACGCTATACTTCGCGAGCGTTATATTATATATAATATAATTTCTTATTATAAATTATATAAGTATATTTAGAAGATTTTAAAATTAATTAAGAATATAAATATAATACTTATTAAGAATTAACTTAATATTATTTATAATAGTATTAATCTTAAACTTCGATATAATATTAAGAAATCTAAGGATATTACGACTATAAATTTATTTCTTATAATTCTTAATAATTATAAGTATAAATAATAGGCTTATATTAATAAGTATAAAAAGAATTTAAGTTTAAAAAGTATAACTTCTAAATCTTTCTTTTAGATAAATTAATAATCTTATTTCTTACGAAAGTAGATTTATAGAATAATATAATTAATATAATAATTTATTTAATTATAAAGATTAATCGAGCTTTATTTAATTAAGTCTTCGATTTAATTATTAAATAGAGTATTAATCTTTATATTAATCTAAGCTATAGCCTCGATATTCTTTTTATTAAAATTTTTAAACTTATTAATTATAGTAATCTCGCTATTTAAATTATTTAAGTAGATTAATATAATTAAATTAACGCTTAAATAAAAATTAGCTAAAAGTTTTCTTATAACGTCTTTAAATTATCGAGTTTATAAATAAATTAGATTTTTAATCTTAAGAATAATAGTAATCTTATTCTTTTTAGCTCGCTTTTAATAGTATAAATAGATTATTATATTCTATTAAGTCTTAATATAATCTAGAAAATTACTTTTAACTCTAATAATAGAGAGCTTATTAAGTATTCGAAGATATTATAAATAAGAACTTTAATAATAAATATAAGAAGTTTATAGGATCTTATTAGTATTATACTATAAAAGAATATTCTTTAAATAATACTTTTTAAAAAGCTTTATTCTCTAAATATAAATCTTATAATAATAACGACTATAATAATATATAGAATATATATTTTATAAATAAGAAAGTTAATTATATATATAGTAAATATAAA